ATTAAAAATAAAGACTTAATTGTGAAATTTATGCAAACCAGTATAGGGTTTACGACATTATTTACACAAGCCCACTTTACTCTAAAACCTAGAATAAATGGTTGAGACCAAGATTTGACATTTTGGCCTAATTGAAAAGCAGTTTACTCGTAACTGCAAATCACTATATCCTTTATTTTGACCTTTATGAACAATGTGTTTTTTTGTGTGTTTTTTTTTCACATTAAATGCCTATGGAAACAATAAAGTATATGGAAATGGACATTTCATAAAGTCTGTACAACTTTTCATAGTTTTCTTTTGCTGGAAAAACCTCAAAACAAAACAAAAATTAAAAAGAATCATTTTTTTTGTCATTATTTCATCTGCCATTTTAAGAATTGGATGAAGCTCTGCTTTGCTATAAATTAAAAGTGAGGTCAGAAAAGATATCTCACTCTAGGATATGTCAACTCTTATTTATCTGTATCCTTGTGCAATCCAAATCAGCGCTCCACATCCACAAAGACAGCGTACTTTCCCACAGGATCTGTTGAAAAAGGCTGCAGCTTGTGTGATGGGAAAGTGGCAGGCAGAGGATAGAAACGTCACAACATGGTGAAAGCTTCCAGCTCCAAACTCGAAGCTCCCAGCAGTTATCTCTCTGCTCCCTCATCCAAAGTGAACAAGTCACTGTGGTATTCACAGAAGCTGTGAGTGCTGCTGCTTCCTGTCCTCGCTTCAGTTAGTTCCCTCTAGAAGAGTTGCGAACGACAACCCTTTTCACCTCTGGTAGAAAAACGACGAGTTGAACTTTCACTTTCGGCAATTTTGCAAAAAATAGTCTGGGGTTGTGGCTTGTTCTGTCTACTGCTTCAAGTGAAAAACATCATCATGTTCAAAATATCTCATCTTTATATTCATATCAAAATAACTGAGGAAAGAAAAAAATAAAAGCATTGGTTAGTTATTCTATATTTAGAGGGTAACAAAGGCAAAAAAAAAACCAAACAAATATTTTATTACTTTAAATATCCTCGATAGAGTGGAGCAAACAATCCTGGAAATAAACAGTTCAGTAAAATGAGCAGCATCCTTATCAGTGAGAACCCCTGTAATTTCTTCAGAGACCCAGAAAAGAAGAAAAAAAGGTTTGCGTATTCACCTTACATTCTAGTGAGAGAGCAAAAGCTGTTATGCTTGAACAACTTCCATTAAGTCAGAAGCCATTAATGTGTAAACTAATATTAAGAGCTACAGGTGTGTTTTGGTTGCCCGCTCTATCATAAACATATTCTGATTGACTCTCCAGTTTTCCCGCTGGGTAATCAAGCATTCTCAACACTCTTAAACACTGAATATTACAGCACAGTTGGGTTGACAGGGGGGATTGCTGTATCCAAATCCATTTGATGTCTGCTTCAAATATTTGCCTCTGATTCCCTGAGGGATGTTCACTTGGGTTGAATTTAAAGATATTGCATTGACTCTTGCCCTAAATGCGGGGTATTAGTGACAACAGTCAACGACGTGAGTGTGATGATTTTGGGACCTCTAGTTAGGCAGGGATGTCTTTTTATCCTCTCCATATTGCATTTTTCTGCCTTTGTGATTCCAAGTGCAAGTCTCCTCTGATGTTTAGAGAAAAACTTGATGAGACTCATTTTGTTGTTTTTTTTATGCACAGCTAATGTGTGAATAAAAGTTCTCAGCACTGGTGTGTTTGGACTCTACAGCTTTAGTTCTATTCCATTTTCATCTATGCTCAGACAAACTCCTCTTCCAAGGTAAAAACAGCTATTCACACAACTCTCTCTCTTTCAAACACACACACACAACAAAGCTTTCTTGATAAGAGAATCAACAGATGGACAGAAACATTGTGGGTAAGTGCTGCAGGGTGAGTGGGGCAGTATGCCAAAGTGAATGGGAGCCAATGAGAGTTGCAGCCCTTGTCAAGGTCCGGCTTCCTTTACACTTCCTTTTAATCTGGGCGAACACTGACACAGGACCTAACCTAGAGGGCTGGATTCAGCAGCTCCTTTATCTCGGCTAAGCTGTCCTCTTCTTTTAGGGTTAACCTTTGAGCCAACCCACACGTCAATAGCAAATAGCGCCACGTCATCCCCTGTTGCAACCCCCATGGTAGTTCTTTTTGCAGAATGCTTTGATTCACATCATAGTATTCTGGTGAAAACGTTGTTTTGTTGTGGTGACTCCAAGAATAATGCCATCTTGAATAATCTAAACTCAATAAAGGTTGTCTCAAGGAGGTGACATTTGTACAGATGTGTACTGCTGTTGTTTGCAGGCATTTGCTTTCTTTACAGTAGACATGCCTGCACCCTGCAACTGTTCTCTTTTTGCACAACCCTTCCCTACATAATGCTGGAAAAAATAAACAGTCCTGTCTTCAAAATCTGCATCTCCAGAGCCAGCCTTCATGAACATCTAATCCAAAGGCTCATATAGCACCAGGGGGCTTGTTGTTGCAGCAATGCTTATGCATTGCACTATGGACCCTACAAGAGTTATTTTACCACTACATACAATTAATGGGAGCAGTGTTATTGATTCTGACTGGGATACCTTAAGCGTGGTGCAGAATCTTTTTGTTTTCTCTCCCTCAATTACAACTGGCTATAACCCTTTTAGAAACAAGCATAAAATGCCATCCTGTGTTGTTTTCCCTGCAAAAAGGTGGAGGGATGGAAATAAAAATCAACATGCTATCTTCATAATTCTTTGGACTTTTACATACTATAGGGAATGCTTTTAGTCCACCTCAGCATGGCTGGGTAGAGTGCCATGATACAACAAAAAAAACGTTTTTTGATTTAGCACAAATCTAGTTTTCATTTGCTAATTTGCATTTCTAGCCAATAGGAACTAGGACACCAAATTTAATGCACAGAAAGCAAATACTGCTGTTCACTGATGACTTTAAAGTTGGTGTCTAATTTGAAACTTATTAGTATCTGCAAAAACTAATGGTCCACTTTAATGGTATTTTCAGGAGTCTTTAATGCATATCACCATAACATGATGAAATATGTAAACATTTTTATTTTGCAGTCCCAACTGCAAGGTTTACTCTCAGTATAATTGCTCATAGTTAGAGATGTACACTATGAAGCCTGCAGTACGTTTTTGCTTATTGTTAAAGTATCCTGGATTCAGACTTATTGTGCTGTAATATATATGGTGCCATTTGTTATTTAATGCAGCATAAAAGTTTATTAAAAAGTGAAATAGCAGTACGGTGATTAGTTCACTAGGAAAATACAATTAAGTCATGCCAAATCATTTATAAACCTCTATCAAGTTAAACATGTGTCTTAGAGGTTTTAATGAAAATAAAAACTTGTTGTTGAGAACGAAATATTGAATCTAATTTCCCAGTAGCTAAGGAGACAACTTATTGTCTAGGGCCTTTCTTTAATACATGCCCGAAGCAGAACAGCTTTAAAATGCTTAATTGTCTATCACAAGTCAAATTATCACTGCAATACTCACTAATATCACTTGTTGCATGTTTTTAATAATATTGTGCCGTACAATGTTCAGTCATTGGCATAATAATCCCCTTAGATAATGGAAAGTATATTTAAGCTGAATTTATTTGAAATGACCATGCACCATTTAGAACATCGCTTTTCATTCGTGCAACTTTCTAGGAGAATGTTTT